ATCTTTACAAAATGCGATCAACGATCTGCCACATTGTGGGATAAAGCATGTGTTAGCTATAAATGATGCACGCCCTTCTGCTTTCAAGGCAGCCTGTGAATTGCAATAAAAGAGTGAATTAATTTCCACTAAAGATAAGCACCGTAGTAGGACTCAAGGATGAAATGCATGCAAGAAGTCATTAAAGTGTGTATGAAGTGTATTCAAGTCTTTATTTTCAAGTTTCTAGTTAGGGAAGAGAAAATGAGGGTTGATCTTAAATGGAATCTCCAGCCAAGGGAAATCCTCTGAGGCTAGTATGGATTTGTTGGAGGATATTGGGTACAAATTCTCAGTAAGAAGGGCGAATGTTATAACCTGCTCCAGACGCAATTTAATTTTGCATGAACGAAAGCAATAATCTTAACCAAACAGCTCACTGCTGTGAAATATGAGACTTTTATTGCAAACCACAGACAAATCAAAATCTGAATGAATTCTATCTGAAGTGCATCACGATACAACTATACAGTCAGTGGCACTAATGAGATTCAACTAAAAGCTACGCTCGATCCCAAAAAGCATTAGAATAGTGAGGTCAAATTCCTTTATTGTTACTTAAGCCTAAAACATTTTTGTTTTAACATCGAAAGATTAAAATGAGACAACAGTTCAACATTCCAGCTTCGACTTCCATCTTTAAAAATCCGCATCCGTGTTTCTGATATGTGTCGGCGACGTCGGCCGCATAGATAGAGGCCCATATCTCAAGACATGAGTAAATCAACAGCTTGGTGTGTTAAGTACTACCTTCACCAGGAAATCACAGTGATCCTGTATTTGTGGTGGCTCGTTTGCACTTTGCAGTTTGCACTCACATTTTTTGAATCATAACCCCAACAGGTAAACAGCCCTTTGTTCTACACCTGAAAGGAACTGCCAAGGAGACTAAACCCGATACTTGGCAGCAGAGGAATCAATGAAAAAAAAAATTGCTTGGTGCCTCCAGTTTCCTCTTTAGAAATTAAATGTCCAGAGATTGACTTGGCCAGTCTAAAACCTTCCACCGCTTGTTCACGTTCCTTTTGTTGTTTTGGCAGGGTATTTTGGGGCTGCCTGGTGCAGGCTCTTCCAATTTGGTTCCAACTTTCATCAAATTCTGCTACTGATCATTGAAGATTAAGAAGCCTGTCCCAAAAGAGGCCATTCAAGCCCAAGCCATGACATTTATTCATAAACAGCTTTTCATGCCAAAAAAATACATAGTTTACAGAGATAAAAACACCAACCTCCTGCCATTTGTCCACACATGTCTCAGACATATGCACAAAGACAATGACCTATGTTTTATGTCTGGGTACAGAGGACCCAAATGAGGAAATGCCAATCATAAGGAGCCGTCAACTTGAAATTCAGACAACAGACTGTGGTTATGGGACACCGACATGCAGCCATTGGGCAGGACCATGGCCCATCACAACTGTCAGTATAGAAGGCTCCCTTTGGGGGAAACACTGAAAAATAATAAAATAGTGCTTAAAAATGATAAAACATTAAAATCTGTGAAAATGTGAATGATTAATAATATATACCGTAATTTCTGGACTGTAGACCGCACCTGATTATAAGCCGCACCACTACATTTTGAAAGAAAAAAAAATTTTGTACACACATAAGCCGCACCGGTGTATAAGCCGCAGGTGCCCATATTGTAACATGAGATATTTACAAAGAAAGATGGTACACAGGCGGCCGTTAGAAAAGTCTTTATATAAGCCGCTTCATGAAATAAGCCGCAGAGTTGAAAGCGTGTGACAAAATTCGCGGCTTATAGTCCGGAAATTACGGTAATTAAATTACCGAAAACTATCACACGAGCAAGATAAAATACCACAAATAACAATACTACAATGCAAGTACGACAATGAAATTTAAAACAACTCAATGGCAAACTATTTTCTTGGGCAAATTCCAGCCTTGCCTTCCTATTTTTCTTGCTAATGAATATTTACACAGGTTTAATACTTGAGTTTATGACATCTTCTATAAACAGCAGATTGGATATTTTCACTCCATTACTCTCATCGAAGTTGCTGCTAAGGTCTCCGGCAGTGGTTTTGAGCCCTTCTTTACAGTTTTTGCAATTTTTCATTCATCAATTGCTGCTTTTGACATACCTGTTTGACATCTGCTCACCATGCAAGTACTTTGGGAGGAGTGTGTATTTCATTTTCTTGCAGTTTCAACAATAATAGTTCTTAACAGTGGTTTATAGGATTTACTAACACCTTGGCCAACTTTTTAAGGCATGACACTATTGTGTTCTGTCTGTTTTGCCTTGCAACCACAATACTGAACATACAATGTCCTTGTAATACTTCTTTCAGAGTGTGAATCAAAACTGAGCACCTTTGTTTTCTTAATTATTAAATTCTGTCTTTCCGTCTGAAGAGACATCAGGATTGGCATTTTTTTCACCTTTGAGCTATTCATTTCATTGGGCTCTACTGTTATTTCCTGTGTTCAAACATGAAGCCAGGCATAGAATTGAGTTTTTTTAATCACTTTCACTACCTTGGGGGAGATGGTCTCAAACTCATTAAGACTCTACCGACTGAATTTGAGATAAGCCTTACAGAATGACAGGTGGGCTGAAGTCGTTATTTAATAACCTGAAGGGTGTGTATGTGGGGGAGAGATACTTTGCGCTCTGTATCTGTGTATTTAATTCTTGCTCTGAAACAGCATTCCCTCCCACTAAGGTCTGAACAAAGGTGCCGTAGTGAGCACAATCTTGAAAATGGCGTAATTAATGAAGCATACTGTGTGCCACTAATGGAGTGACAGAACAACATAATTACTTGACTTGTGTTTGTTAGGGTGGCTCCTGCAAAACCATTTTGTACACTTTTTGGAGACATCAAACTGGATGCTTTTAAAGTGTGTGCATTTTTCAAATGAGGTTATTCTTTATTCAGGTGGAAAAGACAAGAATAATATCCAAAATACTCTATCATATCATTATTTCTCTATTTTGATGGCGAAATAATATCGTCAAATGCAAGGTTACTGTCTGTAATTGTTAAACAAAGTTCCATCTGGATCAAATCTGCCCTGTGGACATTCTCAATTTAATACTAAAAATGTCATTTTAAAGATTCAGAATCTTAGATTACTTGCAAACTATGTTACTTTTTTGATTTGATTTGGACTATTACCTAAAACAAACAAAAAAATAATAGAGACATTTAAAAATGAATATTCTGAATGAATAAAAATGTACAACTGCACATACAGACATCAGAAAATGAGTGGAGGCTTTCTGTAGAATTTTTCAGCAGTTCACTAGTTTAGCTTTATGACTGAACAATTGCTATTAGCAAGAATAATATAAAATTTTCTATTTGTGCCCTGCAATTTGCTGGCTATAATAATGAAACAATGATGATGATGATGCTAATAATTGTGATGATGATGATGATGATGATTATCATTATTATAGAGAGCATTTATTCATTTCCCCTCCTGATCCTTCACCTTCGTGTGTCCCAGTGATCCAAGGGGTTAAGGTGTCTGGGCCTTGATGCCCCTGGCAGGATCATCTATGGCAAACAAATCTTAGGTAAGGGACCAGACAAAGCACGTCTCAAAGACCTCTTATGATAAGTACATTATATGGACATAATTTTCCCTCACCTGGACACGGGGAACAGGGACTCAGTTCCAGTCTGGAGTCTGGAGTTGCATATGGTACTGATTAGGTTATTGCTAAGGTGGATTGCTGCAGTATCTGCAGTGATGCAAACTCTTTATCGGTCTGTTGCGGTGAAGGAGCAAAGCTCTTGGTTTACCAGTCAATCTACGATTCTACACCCACCTTCGGTCACGAGCTGCGGGTCACGACTGAAAGAACAAGATCCAGGATGAAAGCTGCCCCAATGAGTTTCCTCAGCAGGGTGTCCTGCCAATCCCTTAGACATAAGGTGAGGGGCTTGGTCATTAGGGAGGGGCTCAGAGTCAAAGCCGATCTCCCTACGCAGTGAGAGGAGCCAAGTGAGGTGGCTCAAGCATTTGATTAGGATGCCTCCTGGATGCCTTTATGGTGAGGCCCAGGGGATGACCTAAGACCTGCTGGAGGTCTTCCGGTTGGCCTGGGAACACCTTTGGATCCCCGCAAAAGAGTTGGACAAAGTGGCAATGGAGAAGGAAGACTGGGCTTCCCTACTTAAACTGCTGACCCTGCAACCTGACCCTGGATTATTCAATGGATGGATGGATTGTTTTTCTTGTGAAAACACTCAGGCATGTTGGAGCACAGTTAAAAAAGTCAACAATAAAATATCAAATACATCCACTGTACCAAAAAGGAACAAAAATATTGTTAACAGAACATCAGTCTAAAAAGATATATTACGGGTGGATTACGTGAGATTTATGCGGTGCGTCAATAGCTTCAAAGAAAGTAACATTTCTTCAAGATCTACAAGGAATTTTGACAGGAAGTCAATTGAATTCCAGATCTATAGAAACAAAATGTCGATACCACTGTCAAAGTCATTGGTACATTCATTTCACAGGTGACAAATGTTTTTGCCTAAGGTCTTTGCTGTTTCATTTATGCTCTTATCATGTGTTGCTGTGGCTTCAGCGCTTTGAATATTTTAAGATGGCCACACACACCTTACAACAAGAATCTCATGCATCAACGGTAAAATGGCGTAAGCTACTGACTTGTTTTGAAATTAAATGACATAAAACCTTTGCAAAGATGACAGTGAACAAGGTCAACTCCGACATATCAATGGGTGGCCCAGGAGTATCTTGGGAATGTGTCCCCATTCTGTGAGGGGATGAGACAGCAGGGGCATTGTAGTGAAGGTGATCCGTGATGAAGCCTTGTTTGTTGTTACTCAAAAGACAACAGCTCTTTTGTATGCCCGCCTCAAAGTCATTCGACCAGTCACACCGTGTGCATAATCTGCAAATGCCACTGTTTAAACTATCGTTATTCTTTGCTGCAGATTTACTGAATTCTTGGAGCCCTTTGAGCGAGTCATCCAACCTGAGGAGCTTTGGCTCTACAAGAATCCGCTGGTTGAGTCCGATCATATTCCCAAAAGGGTCATGTTCGTAAGTACCTACTGTATCATAATACATCCCCTTTTACAGCAAACTTGATAGCAGCCATATAACTTGGCATTATTTCCATGTAACTGAACCACTTTCATTGTTTAATTCTGACTAATTTGTGCAGCGACAAAATCTTTCATTTAGGGTGATTAATACTGTGGATTCTCATCTTTTAGTGGTTAAAATGAGGCTGGCTTGCGGCGATTAATACTGGAGGGGTGTTAGAAAACTGGGCTGTAGTCTTCTACTGTGAGGAAGGAGAGTGTGGTCTTGGATGACAACAACCAATACTATTCACACTCCATCCTAAGCAAATACAGTAACTATTTTGTGAAGATTTGGTAAGATTATGTCTCTAACTGTATATTTTGCTGATGTCTGTCTTGGCCAGGTTTCTCTTGGAAACAAGGTTCTTAACCTCAATGGGATCAACCTGGCTACATAAAGGTTTAAAAAAAAAAAAAAAAAAAAAAACAACAACAACAACAATGCCGGGCATGGCTAGTCACACAGTAGCCTCTCAGAAAAGTCCCTGATTGCTATCTTTGTCTTCCTCCTCCTGCGCATTAAACACACCTAAGCTACAGTGCCAGATCTCCTTCGTTATACACATTCTGTCTATGTCTCCCGTAGCTGTCACTATAGCTGACGTCACAAGACAAACTCGCCGATGAGCTTGTGCGGTCCTATTTATCATGCGGCATTCTAGCCTTTCGAAACCCACTGGTATACTGTAGTGGATTTTCTGACACTGCCCCAAGCTGTCAGGATCCACTGGCAGACTTCAGCAAAAGTTGCTCTTCGTATGCAGCCAGTTTTGGTTCAATATTTCTCACCGCTCATCATCCAAGCCTGCCACTGAACTTTGAGCGCCACTTTAAATGTACAATTCACACTGATGATGTTGAGTGGCTGCAAGTACTTTGTTTTGCATGCCGTGATTGACAAGACTTTTCATCTCATAAATTTATTGGTGGCATGAAGCTTGTCAGTAAAAATCAATAAAGCCTGGGGAAAAAAAGTATGAAAAAAAAGCCTTTCAAGGATATCTGCCATCCATTTTCTGATCCGCTTATCCTCACGAGGGTCACGGGCGTGCTGGAGCCTACCCCAGCCGTCTTTGGGCAGTAGGTGGGGGACACCCTGAACTGGTTGCCAGCCAATCGCAGGGTACAAGTAGACAAACAGCATTCATGCGCACAATCACAACTAGGGACAATTTGACATGCCCAATCAACCTGCCATGCATGTCTTTGGAATGTGGGAAGAAACCAGAGTACCCGCAGAAAAGCATGCAAACTACACACAGGAAGGCCGGACCAGAATTGAACCCTGCACCTTTGCACTGTGAGGCTGACGTGCGAACGAGTCGACCACCGGGCCCGCCTTTCAATAATATACATCACAATTAAAAATTAAATCCGAATTAAGACACAACATAATACAAAAACAGGCACAAACATCACCTATATATATAAAAACACACATATACATAAAGATTAGGGTCTCTGGAAGTAACACCCACCACTCCCACCGGACACTGAAAATACTAACAGTATAGGATCATAATACTCAAAGCACAGAGACATTTTCAGTTTGTGGCTTGAGAAGGGGAAAAAACAAATTCATTCAGCATCTCTTCTGTGACATTGAGGCTTTCAATGTGCACTGTCTGGGATTGGTTGGCTTCTTTTTCAAATTGGCTTGCTTTTTCATGTTTATCATGACCCGAGACAGCCTTATTTCTTTCCTAACCGTTCCATACAACAAATGTGACAGTTTTATGATTTTCTGAAGTTTTCAATAACATAATTTATTATGTCATTCACAGAACAGTGGGTTTGCTTCGCCCTGTGACATTTATTCAAACGTTTTTGTTGTTGTTCTGGGTTGTGGAGTAAAATAATAAAAAAGTCAGCTGAAACAGTCAAGCAACCATTGCATTTTTTTCATTTACTCATGTGATCATCATAATGATGATAAAATCAGAAAATGTGTGACACAATTGTATGTCACTTGCCCCTATCCAAAAAAAAAAAAAAAAACTACTTGAATTTGGAATTGACATTGGCTATGTTCACTGCAAGACTATGAATACCTTTGTTGAAATTGATAATACATGTGTGGCAGGATTTCAGACAGTAGCACTGGTATATTGAGCAACCTTCAGGTCAAGTCTGTGTGCCTTGGAAACTGGATCCAACTAGGACCAGGGATTTAACAATGGAGTTTTTATGAAATTTTTGATGAAAAAAATTACCATAAAATTGAATCATCTTGAGGAAATGGATAGAAAGTACAAGTGAATGGATACAACACTGGAAAAATAAGTACGTCACTTTCAGTTCTACGTAACTAACATTTTTCTACACTTTTCCTCAGCAATATTTAAATTATATTTTAATCATGCACACTCAATAAACTGTGTATGTTCGAACTAAGTAAATCCAATGAAACCAAAGAAGGTTTTTTTTCAGTGTTACTTGTGCGCAAATAATTCACAATTTCCCTTTAGATTCTGGAAGTACAATTTCAGTTGAACAGTTAAGTGCTGTCCACTACAGTAAAATAGTACAGACGGCCAACATTGAGACCAAATCTTCATTGTTGCTGAAAATGCAACTGTTCCCATGACAACCTAAATCCATTCCCCATCGGTTTATTGACAATACATCATCCCTCTTTCTGTAATTCATGTCTTTGGGTGTCCTTGAATGGTTGCAGCCATACTTCAAAAGAAAAATGCTATCAAATGAAAAGATCCGTCAAGCCTCCAAATGTAATACGAATGTTAGTACGTGCACCATAACTGAAAGTAGGTGTCAAGATGAAAGAGTCTTTGTTCAAGCATGTCCTTCTAAATAGTCTGCCCAAATGGACCTACAATAACTGTGACTGTAGTATTAATATAGTTAGGGGAACTGTGCTGAATGCACTGCCACACAAAATGTTTTCTAATTAATTTCTATTTTATTTGAAGAATGATAGATAGGTAGATTACAATGTATTTTGCCTGAATGAATGAGCTCTTTGTATTTACACCAGTATGGCTTATCACGCCATAAAATGTGATAATCTCTTAGCCACTTTACCTTATAGCTAATGTTGAAAAATACAACTGCATTTTTCAAAATGAAAAAAAAAAATCACTGTCAGTTTCTGTAGAGTCATGCTTCTCGTTCTGTCTCCCCCATGTTAGTCTCGTCTATGTTCCTCTGAATGGCTTGTAACTGGGAAATAAATTCCTTGTGTTTTTCTTGCATACATGGCCAATAAATCTGATTCAAATTCGAATTTATGAATGAAATACAAGAACGTCCATCACACATATCTGTCTTTGCCCGGATCAAATCCTTCCAAATTGCATTACACCATCTGCACCACAACTTGGTTTCACTTGGTGTAAAGACTACTCTACTTTCTGTCACCAAATTGTCGGGTGCACTGAGTGCATGTAATAGACACCACCAATGCTATCAAATGAAAAGATCCGTCAAGCCTCCAAATGTAATACGAATGTTAGTACGTGCACCATAACTGAAAGTAGGTGTCAAGATGAAAGAGTCTTTGTTCAAGCATGTCCTTCTAAATAGTCTGCCCAAATGGACCTACAATAACTGTGACTGTAGTATTAATATAGTTAGGGGAACTGTGCTGAATGCACTGCCACACAAAATGTTTTCTAATTAATTTCTATTTTATTTGAAGAATGATAGATAGGTAGATTACAATGTATTTTGCCTGAATGAATGAGCTCTTTGTATTTACACCAGTATGGCTTATCACGCCATAAAATGTGATAATCTCTTAGCCACTTTACCTTATAGCTAATGTTGAAAAATACAACTGCATTTTTCAAAATGAAAAAAAAAAATCACTGTCAGTTTCTGTCAGAGTCATGCTTCTCGTTCTGTCTCCCCCATGTTAGTCTCGTCTATGTTCCTCTGAATGGCTTGTAACTGGGAAATAAATTCCTTGTGTTTTTCTTGCATACATGGCCAATAAATCTGATTCAAATTCGAATTTATGAATGAAATACAAGAACGTCCATCACACATATCTGTCTTTGCCCGGATCAAATCCTTCCAAATTGCATTACACCATCTGCACCACAACTTGGTTTCACTTGGTGTAAAGACTACTCTACTTTCTGTCACCAAATTGTCGGGTGCACTGAGTGCATGTAATAGACACCACCCTCTGTCCTGGAATGCCAAGTGAGACCGAGCGCGGTCGGCCAAATTCCCAAATGGTAAACTAGACTTGCTCCGGCACCAAAATTAAGTTTTTATGCCGAGCGTACGTGCTCTGTCTATGGAAGTAGAGCCCAATTAATTATTTTTCCTCTTTATGCTGCTGAAATGCATAATCAAACAGTGCCACTCCAGCCTCAGGGTGCTCTTTTCTTTCCCTAAAAAGTTTAGCAACAGTCTTAGCTTAACCCATGACTCAGTTAATAATAGCAACTATGAGCAAGGAGGCAACAAATGTTTTTATTGTGTGAGAAAGCAAGTCATTTGGCATGTTTTTAAACATTCTGATTGTCCAAGAAAAAGTTATTTCCCAGTCAAGTTTAAAGTGACTAGGATGAGAATCTGCATTTTCAAACCTGAGACCATGGTCCTCAGGGTAGAGTGCCTTTTCCAGGTCGGTGGTAAGTTCCTGCCCCAAATAAAAAAGTTCCACTATCTAGGGGCCCTGATCTTGAGTGACGTGAGAATGGAGGTGGATCAATGCAGTTTATTGGTTGATGCATGGGTCTCTCAATGTGAAAATGGACCTGACCTGAAGGGGAAGCTCTCGATTTACCTATTGATCTACATTTCCACCCTCACCTATGGCCCCAAGAAAGAATAATGTTCACAGTTACAAGCGACTGAAATGAGCTTCTCTGCAGGATGTCTGGACTCTCAATTAGAGATAAGGCCCTCAGAGGGGAGCCGCTTTTTCTGTCTATCTCGAGGAGCCTGGTAAGGTGGGTGGGCATCAGATTAGGATGGCTCCTGGATGCCTGGCAAAGTGCTACAGGCATGTCATCCTTGACACATCCAGAACATGTTGCAGGGACTGCCTCTCCCCTGGCCTGAAAATGCCCCAGGCTCAGCCTTGGAAACGCTGGACAAAGTGTCCTGGCAGAGGGACCTCTGAGCCTCCATGCTCTGTGAGCACTGTTGTTGTGCCCTTGAGCAATAAACCGCAGCTTCACTGCTCAGGGACCTGACACAGTTGTATATCACCTAAACGTGTGCATCTCTCTTCGACTGCATCCCTTCATCCCATCCATGGTGATTGTTGGGTCTGAATCTGTTTGAATGCAATACATATAGAAGCTTTCAAGTCAAGTCAGCTTTATTGTCAAATATGCTCTATGTACAACATACAGCACAGATGAAATCTATCTAGGTGTACCCAACCACTCACATCAAGTGAGATGGAATCGGTAGGCCTCAGCATTACCCCAAGTAAGTAACATTTGCAATGAAAATAATAAAATGAAAAACGAAACTGAAATTGTTATTATGATGCAGTCCTGCAAAGGAGAAATGCCAAACGTCAAAGAAAGGGTCTGTTAAAACCCTCATAACAATGAAGCGGATTGCTTTTCTGCTTTGTTTGACATGTTGAAAATTAAAACAGGATTGAATATACTGTACTTTAGAAGGAGGTCATTTCCTGAGGCTGATATAATTTAATATTAGTTATCTCAACAAGCAACACATGACTAATGCTACTGTAATAACTGAACACCGTTCATCTTGATTTCCTTGTAGGCAATCTCCTTCCTTACTCCACTGGCGGTGATATTTGTGGTGAAGATAATTCAGAGGACAGACAAGACAGAAATCAAAGAGGCATGCTTAGGTAGGTGGAGCTAATTACATGAAATGTGATTCTCTCTCTCTCTCTCTCTCTCTCTCTCTCTCTCTCTCTCTCTCTCTCTCTCTCTCTCACTTTTCACATTTGTATAAATACTGTAAATTACTCAAATTCAGTGTCAGCTAATATATCTTTTGATGTTGAAGCTGCTAACAGTCTCCTTTGCTCAATTCCTTCTCCTACAAAAGTGGTACAGATGGAAAGAATGAGGAAAATACGGTAGGTAAAATGGCGTAGGCGGGGGTTGATGGGGGAGGAGCTCTGTTTTCTGTCAATGGTACCTAATAAGCTTAAGAAGCTGGAATCTTTCCACTCCTTCCATCCAGCAGATCAAAGTCAACTTTGACTTTTGGATTTGGCTGCTTAATTAGATGGATTAGTATCAAATTAGGTTTTTATTTGATGTGATTTTGCACAGCAAAAAGTGAGAGCATGTGAGGAGACCTAACATATGCAATGCTCCCATGAGTGGCATCATTGGGGAAAATGAGGGCCTCATCACTGGGAGGCCGCAGAAACATGCCGGTTTAGGTCTTCAATGGCATTCTTCAGCAACAATAGATGGTAGCTTTTTTTCCTGCTTTCTTCTGCTGCTCAAGTGGGCGAGGAAAGACTGCCAAATGTCAAAATTGTTCAAACTGTGGCTGTACGGTGATGCTGTCATGGATGGAAAATTCCAAATGTGTGTTGACTCGACGTTGAACTAATTTGTCGATAAGTTGACTTTACGATTGCGCTATGCTATGTTTTTTAAAGCTTAAAGTCGACTAATCGCTTCTCAAAAGTTTTGCGGATCTGATTTCTCAACTGGCCAATTTGCAGAAAAATGTCAAATTGCCACTCTGCTGCCATCGCCAGACATGTTTGCCACACGGGGCTCTTCTGTTCGGCAATAGAGGTAATTACTTCCCTTCAGGAGGTGCCACCAAATATATGTGTGTGTGTGTGTGTGTGTGTGTGTGTGTGTGTGTGTGT